AATATTAGAGATAGATAGATAGATAGATAGATAGACAGATAGATATAGACAGACAGACAGACAGACACAGATAGACAGATAGATAGATAGTTAGTTAGTTAGTTAGTTAGTTGGTTAGTTAGTTAGACAGATAACCTCTCGTTCTCCTGACTCTGCACGGCTGCGACCACCATCAGTATCATGAGAGCGACGCGCTGCTGAGATCTCTGCGTCTTCAACATCATCCGAACACTGAAACGCCTCGAGCTGAAGAACAGAAACACAGACTCAGACCTTCATCAGAACAGAACTAACACACAGATCATGAACCGACTAACTTTCTGAGCAGCTGTCTCGCTCCCGTCTGCTCTCCTGCAGATGACTGACTGACAGACGCTCAGATCCCGGGGTTTATATAGACCCCTGGTGACCTCAGATTCAGAGCCCCTCCGCCTCCTCCTCGGCTCCCAATTATCAGATATGCTTTGGTTGCTTCCACAGAGTCATTTATAATGGATGCGTCACGTCAAACTACTGATTAATCGTTGTTTTGGGTTTCATTCCGTTTGGCGTCCTCACTGAGCTCAAAGGCTGGAATTAAAATTTGAGTTCTTTTGGGTTTCAAGTTCTCATCAAAAATGAGAATCTGCTGAGAAAGGCTGTGTTTTCAACTAAAAGCATGAGAAAAGTTTGAAACGAGTCACAGAACTGGAGAGGTTTGAGAGTTAAAAACTGATGCAGGTTGGTTGTTGCAAGGAAAAATCCCAGTCGATAAAGCCGTAGGTGTTCTAGTTAAAATGCCTTTTCACTAGAACTTCAAAACTTAGCATTATCGTCGGCGTGTTTCCACGTCAGCAGCGCTGCTAAAGACTCTCACAGCCCTAGCAACACGTCTCGGATGTGGTTTCTAACGGTGAAAAATGCGAGTGCTTGATGGGGACGTCAGTGATGATGATTCCTCCAAAGTAAAACATCTCTGATTAGCAACTGCCCAGATGACCACAAACCTACAAAACTACTACTACAAATGGATAGTTCACCCAAAATGATCATTCTGTCACCATTTACACCCAAATCTGACTTTCTTTCTTCTCTAGAAGAGAAAAGGAGATGTTTTGAATAATATTGGCCTACAGCAGCCAAACAACATGTTGAGGTCTAATTAAAACGCAATTAAAATAGACTTGTGCACTATATTCCAAGTCTTCTGAAGTCACATGATTTTTTTTTTTTGAGCAACAAACCTCAAATTTACAGTACGATGGTCCTTTTCAGTCCAAATTTAGCACCTCAAGCCCTTATGAAAATTAACCGTGGTTTATTTATTGTAAAAGAGTAGTATGTTTTTTTTTGGCGTATTGATTACCATTTCCCTGTTGAAAAAACCAGCATATGCTAGTTAGGTATGTTTTGAAGCTGGGATGCTGGTTTGAGCTGGTTTAAGCTGGGACCAGCTTAGGACCAGCAAAGGACCAGCTTAGGACCAGCAAAGGACCAGCATAAACCAGCAAAGGACCAGCATAAAATATGCAGTTTTTTTCAACAGGGTTGTATAACCAGTTTTACTACAAATACCATAGTGTAGCAAAACCATGGTTAATTTGTGGTTAACTATAGCAACCATGGTTTATTGGCTTTATTTGTAGTAAAACCATTGTTAATTTTCGTAATGGTGCATTTGGTTTGACGTGAATAACAGCAAACCCTTTTGGTTTTTGTGTATCTCATGATCGATTTCAGTGCTTTAGTACAGAAAACCCAAAAAAATGCGAGTTTCTACACCAAATATCTTCATTAAGGCGAGCTATTCCTTCAAGAATAGCTTCCTTCCTTTTTTCCGTTTTTTGAGGAGGATTAGCCATAGATTAAATAATCACATCAGTTGTGTTTAAAAAAACACTTTGGCTTTTTGTATTTAAAAATCGTGCATTTTGCTTTAAAACGTTTAGATCTAATGTGATTATTAATGAACTCATTTAGGGCTTCTCTCTCTGGGCTCACAGACGCGTAGCCGGAAGCTCCGCCCACGAGCGTGCGTCGAGACGTACATTACGTGAGCACGTCCGTATTTCCGCGCGGCGCCATTTCGGAGCGGATCTGATCCAGGACTCAAACACGCACGGTCAGCAAAAGGCGACATTCACGGTAAATCGGCTTTTATTCGCTTTTATTATCCTGTAGTGGGCTTGATTCTGATGTTTGAGACGCTTAATTGCGAGCGTTAGGAGACGGAATTGCGTTTTCGCCTCATTTGTGTTTTTTTTTTTGCAGGCGCCATTTTACTGTTGACCCGGATTAGCGATTAGCCGCTCACCGCGAGGCTTTAATTACATGTATCAGTTTAACAATCATCGTAATTATATTTACAGCGGCTCCAGACTGTTTTTGTCGGTTAAAGAGATCGTTTGTGTCGTTTGTGTTCAGTCGCGTGTGATCGTCATGCGCCATTTTGAGCGGCGAACAAAAGACGCTCTCCGTTTATACGCATTTTACAGTTTTCCTCCTTATATTGTCATATTTTTGACTTTTTAGATTAACGTTTTGAATTGTTGAAACTAGGATGTTTGGTGGTTTTAGTAGATTAGATTAAACCGTTTTGTCACGCGACTATAACGCCTCAGAGGCGCTTCTGGGCCGGTTGCGCCAGTTGTGCGTAAGTTACAATTTAGCCTAGTTTTGACGTAAATGTGCACTAAGTTACAATTTACGCACTTCTAAATATTTTTTCGTTGCACCATTACACGTAGTTGAAGTGTAACTATGTATAAGTTAAATATTTACGGCCGAAATCGGTGACCAGGGGTCAGCATCTAAATCTCGAGCATCTAAATGCTTATATAGAAAATAAATGAAACATTAATGCTGCTGCTGTCTGCTAATATGTTAGCCTACTACTAAGAATGGCTTCTTTATGAGATGTTTAGCGCTTATTATGTATAGCATATTCTGAGAGTTTTACTAAGAGTCCAGCTAGTGCAAGACGAGCATTTGTGGTTTATAACTATATAAATGTTTATTTTTTTTAGTAAATGAGCGATGGTTTGGCTAGTTAAGACTGGTATTCCTCGGCTGGATCGTGTCAGCTCTGAAACTGGACCGTCAACCAGTTGATCCCCATTGAAGTCCACTATATGGAGAAAAATCCTGGAATGTTTTCCTCAAAAACCTTCATTTCTTTGCGACTGAAGACAGAAAGACGTGAACATCTTGGATGACGTGGGGCAGAGTAAATTACCAGGATGTTTTTATTCTGGAAGTGAACTAATCCTTTAACTTGGCTGTGTAAATACACCTTAAAAGTGACTGAAAGGCTTTTGTTATTGTATCCAGGTTATCTACTGATCCTTTGGCAATGTTAATAAACAATTAGGCTATGTGTTACGCTTAGACAACATGCAACAGTGAGAGAAATAGGCGGGTAATAAGAGGGAAGAGAGAGATGGGTATTGGAGGCGATGGAGACCGAAAGCAGCCACACCTCCATTCATTGCATTAACATGTCTTTCCCTAGAGATACTCGGCCTTCTTATTGAAATGAGTTGGAAAGTGAAGCGTTATGTGTTGTGTTTTGCAGGTTGAGCCATGCATCGCGACTGCCCTCTGGACTGTAAGGTGTACGTTGGGAATCTGGGAAATAATGGGAACAAATCCGAACTGGAGAGGGCATTTGGCTACTACGGACCCCTGCGGAGTGTCTGGGTGGCCAGGAACCCTCCCGGTTTTGCATTCGTTGAGTTTGAGGACCCTCGCGATGCCACAGACGCCGTCAGAGAGCTGGACGGACGGTGAGTGTGGATTATAACGCTAATCATCAGCCATTACCCAGCGACTTCAGAGCTAACCGATCCGTTGTCACGCAGGACCCTCTGCGGTTGCCGAGTGAGGGTGGAGCTGTCCAATGGCGAGAAGCGCTCTCGTAACCGGGGTCCGCCTCCGTCCTGGAGCCGACGCCCACGCGATGACAACCGCAGGCGCAGCAGCCCCGCCCCCAGGCGCAGGTAAACCTGTTTTCCCGCTCGCCTGTCTCTCCGTAGGTTGTGTTCCAGAGGAAACTAACCTGATTCTGCCCCTCCCGCCAGTCCTGGAGGCTCCGCCGGTGCCGGGTGTCCCGGTTCTGACGAGGGTCTGCCGGAGATCTTTTGCTCCTCCATCTTCATTGTCATTGATATCCATTAAACAATGATTTGACTGGGCTTCTCAAATTCTGATATTTTGTTGAAATGCAGACCAGTAAGTGATTATTAGGTAAATTCCATGAGAAAATGTCCGGGTTACGTTTCACTCCAAAATTAAATGCTTTTGGCTTGATTTTTTGCATTGTGATTTGGCACGTTTCACCTAAATTCTCATTGCTGTAACGATTATCCAACACAAGTTCATATTTAACGCTTTGGCGAATTAGCGGCTAATTCGTGTGTTTTCGTAAGATGTCATTTTTATTTGTTTGGGGGGCGGGGATTCATGTTTTTTTTATTTTCTACAAATTCATCTGCAGCTCGTAAAAGTTAAATTTTCCCGTAAGATTGGGTTGAATTTTCTCGAGCAAATTCTGGTTTGTCAATTAATAAGCACATCGCATTGATCAAATTTAACGTAATATAAATTGTAAATGATAATTTATCTTTGTGTGATGGTAATGAGAATTACAGCGTCGATGAATGAGAAAACATTATGTAAAAATGTAATTAATTGTCGTTAGTGGCTTTGTTTCTTTTGATTTTTGGGTTGAAATTTGACCCGGACGTTAATTTTAATATTGCTAATTTGTGAATTGGACGTCAAAGCCCAGTCGCTAGTGTTCAGTAATCTGCTCGGGTCTAGTAATGGTTGGAATGCAATCTTTTATTGACTTAACTTTACATGAAGGTTGTTTATTTTATTTTATTATCTATATTAATAAAAATGAACCCCGTTGCAGAGTCACCACCATGCCTCTCCTCACCACCCTCTGAGTCAGTCTACTAGTCTTCTTTCAGCATCATGTGACCAGCGTGCCCCAATCAGCTGGCTGGGTTGGTGTCACATGACCCAGGCGTTGCCAGTCATCAGCTCGCACCAGCCCATTGGTTCCTGAGCATGCCGTTGTCAGCTCCTCCTCCTCCAACCTTAACACCCAATCGGCAGCGGCCCACTTCACATTCCTGACCAATCAGCGTTTTACGTTCCCCAATGTCTACACTACCAACCACCAGCAACAGCCTTCGGCTAACCAATAAAAGCAGGAAAAATCCACTACATCCAGCCCCCATCCGCAAGCCAGCTAATCAGCTCGCAGCATCTGGCCTGCACTTTCCCGCCAATTCTGCTCCCCGGCCGCCAGCCGTCTTCCCCTTCGCCTTTTCTAGCTTGTTGAAAACCGAAAAGACTAGTAAGTTTTTCCTGCTTCATACAGTTTAATGCTGAATACAGATGTAAGATGAGGAGAAATCTCCTGTTGAGTTGAAACAAACAGGGTTGGTATGAGATCTGGACAGACGTTGTTAAGCTTAGGCAAGCAGACTGATGGGGAGCCCAAACGGAGGTTCAGGTTACAGAAGCAGCGTGGGCTTTGAGAGCTGCTCTTGCTTTCTTTCACTGTCTTCATTCTGTGGGGTTGATTGCAGTGCGTTTCTGTTGAGTTTCTCCTGCTAGGGCACTACTTTTGTAGCTCTCTGTACTGGAGCGTAACGCTCTTATTAAGGGAGGTTCTCCGAAGCCTCATGTGTTGCGAGGTCTCCACTCCACCCCTGTATCAGGGCGGTGACGAGTGCGTTTGACTGTTAGTTGCAGGGCTTGTGAGGTGCGTCCGTGTGTCGATTGCGCGCTCACTCGCTTTGCCTCTTCTCTTCTTCAGATCGCCCAGGAGGAGGAGCCTCAGTCGTAGTCGCAGCAGGTAAGAGTCCGTCGGTTCTCGCTGCTTTCCCGCGGGGCTTTGTGAGCGCTTTCTCAACATCATGTTGTTCTGGACTCTGTCTAGATCTCTTTCCAGAGAGCGGCGGAGGGAAAGATCACTGTCTCACGACAGAAACCACAGGCTCTCACGATCTTTCTCCCGATCAAGGAGGTAAGAGTCTCTGCAAACATTCGGCGAAATTTGTTATGGCATTGATATAGATGAATAGTTAAATTTTATTTTTATTTTACCTCTGTATGATGGATAAAGACTAAGTAGTGTTTATATCTGTATTTTTGCGCTCCACAAGTGCCACTTACTGTCAGTCGATTTGTATTGTCATTCAACCCATCTACGATTTTTATTCAGAACAATTATAATCATTAATTAGTCTGAAATTTATGGAAGCCTGTTTCTGCCACTGAATGCTTGATCTTCTCGTTTACAGTCGTTCCAGATCTACTGAACGGAAATGAACTGAGAAGACCGTTGTGACGGAAACCTCGGCACAGATCAAACATGTTGAAAAGATTGAGTCCCCCCAATTTTTTTTAGTTTTTTTTTATATTGACATTATCTTCTTAGCGGTTCTGTTTCCCTCTGTAGCCGCGGTTGTGCGTGTTTGCAGTTTTAATGCGACGGCATTCCATCTCACACTTTTAAGACTCTTTTTTTAGTTGTGTTTTTGGCGGTGAATCTGATTGGTCCTGCTGCGCTGACCTTGAGCGTTTGATTTGTGTTTCTGTGCGATCAGAGGGGGGGGTGTAACAGCACTATGACGGCAGCAGGGGGTGGAATGGAGAACCGCTTTCATTCTTGTTCATTTTTTTCCCTTGTAGTGTTTGTACTGTTTATAATGTTGATCTGAATTAAAAGTCATTACAAAAATGCTTTGGCCTCTTTATGAATTTTTTTAAAAATTGTATTTTTTAAATTGTCCATTTTACAGTGAAAATAACAGTGAGAGTTTGTGAGTCTTTAATTGACATGTACTACTTTAGCAGATGATTTTATCCTAACAATGAGCATAGTTTAAAGCATTTATTTATCTTTGAAAATGTACAAATCGTATTGTTCCTTATGTACATTCTAAAAAATGATCAAAAAGAAATAGATTTGAGTGCATTACCAAAAAATACTGATTTTCTACTTTAAATTTTAACATTTAATTCAGTGTTACCTGCCATTTCTTTATAATTGTGAAGTTTACTAACAATTTTTTTTCAGTGTAGTTCACAGATCCTGGTTAAATATTAAAATATAATGACATCTGAACCTTGTTTGAGGTTTTATTGTATATTAGTTGTTTGGAGCTTCGTTTCTGTGACCGGTTTAATTTAGCAAGTGTTTGTATTTCAGTTGCTTGTTTTGGGTTAGATTGCACTTCTGAGGGATTTGACAAGGGACAGACATTATATAATATATTAAGAAGTATAAAGAAGGGACAACTATTTTTAATAAAATACAATTAAAACATACAGATCGTGTGCAGAGTTGGCCTGTTAAAGTTTTAATTCAACTCTATAACGCACTGGCAATCAGTTTAGAGACATTAAAATCGGAGTATTGTGTTGTCGTTTACGAACCCATTAAAAATCTGGCTTCGGCATTTTGAACCATTTGAAGCTGTGACATGGAGGATTGGGGTAGTCCAATATACAAGGAGTTACAATAGTCCAAATGTGATAAAACAAAGGCATGTATGACTCTTTCAAGATCTTTAAAAGATAGAAAAGAACTTTTGACAGAAGTTTAAAATGGAAAAAACAATGACTTAACTACTGAGTTAATATGTTGGTCAAACTTTAGGGAGGAATCAAAAAGAACTCCCAAATTTGTCACCGTTGGTTTGATACAAGAGTTTAAATGACCACAGTCAAAATTTGGTTTTCCTTTACCCACAGAGGGTTCAAAGACAATTGCTTCCGTCTTTCCCTCATTTAAATGCAAACATTTTTTTAGACATCCAAGATCTTACATCAGCTAAGCATGCAAGCAATGTTTCTAAACCATTCTTGTCATTGTGTTTTAAAGGTAAATAGATTTGGGTGTCATCAGCATAAAAATGAAAGGACACGCCATCCTTCCTAAAAATTGAACCTAGTGGAAGCATGTACAGTGAAAACCAGATGGGAGCCAAAATAGAGCCTTGAGGAACACCAGAGGTAAGAGGAGCTACAGATGAAACAGCGCGACCAATACCTACTGAAAACGTTCTGTTACTAAGATAAGATCTGAACCAGCTCAGGGCACTTCCTTGGATGCCCACACACTTTTCAAGGTGCGATAAAAGAATGCCATGATCAATTGTATGGAAAGCTGCACTCAAATCTAAAAGCACTAAAATTACTGAGTTCCCAGAGTCAACAAGTAGCAAAATGTCATTTAATACTCTTAAAAGAGCAGACTCGGTACTATGATTTTTCCTAAATCCAGATTGGAATTTTTCAAGAGTATTATTTGTTTCCAAAAAAGTCTGTAACTGTAATAACACAACTCTCTCTAAAATTTTAGCAATAAAAGGTAAATTTGAGATTGGCCTAAAATGCGATAAAACCGTTCCAGATTAGGCTTTTTATTGCATGTTTACAATAAGCTGGAACAAACCCAGAAAGAAGGCTCTTATTTACAATTGCAAGAATCCAGGCCCCAACACTATCAAAAATCAGTTTAAAAAAGTGGGTAGGAACAATATCAAGAGCAGACGTAGTAGGCTTCAGTTTGACGACTGAATCCATTAAACCCTGCATGGTAACCGGCTCAAATGAATTAAAAAACCTAGTAGGAGTCAGAAGATCTGAAGGGTCATCAGTAAAAGAAATAATGGACTGTCTAATTGCTTCTATTTTTTCCACAAAAAATCTTCACACAAAGTTGAAGACTCTGCAAGACAGATATTGCCTGTTGGATTAAAAACAGAATTCAAGATATTAAACAAAGTCCTAGGACTATTGGTGTTTGGAAATTATCGCAGAAAAATAGTTAGACTTGGCAGCTTTCACAGCTTTTTGATATGTTATTAAAGACTCCCGTAGGATTTCATAGGATACTTGGAGTTTATCCTTTGATTTATTTACTGTATATTGCTGCTGCCACACAGATCTAATATAAACGTGATTTATTTCCCAGCTGTTTACCTTCACAGACATAACCTACTGTTTTTGTAACTCGTGTGTGTTTTTAACGTAAACTTGTGTGTGAATGAGAGCTTAATTTAGTACTCACATGCTGTGACAGCTGCTTTCTGTGCGTGTGCTTCGGTTGTGTGCTCTCAGAAAACCCTATATCAGAAGTTTAAACTCATATGGTTTAAAACACGATTTCAGCGTGATAAACATGATAATCAGAACCAAAACTGACGTTTTTAGCAGATACGAGCTGTAATGGCAGCTCTATTCTGGAAAAGGGGGCGGGGAGCAGCAGCTCATTTGCATTTAAAGAGACAGGCACGAAAAACAGCGTGTTTCTGCTTCCACTCAAAATAGGCATTTTCAAAATTATATAATAAATGATCTGTGGAGTATTTTGAGCGGAAACTTCAAAGACACATTCTGGGGACACCTGAGACTTATATACTTATATATTGTAAAAAGGGGCATCATATGTCTCCGTTAAGTGCTTAGCTATTATTATTGTATGTAAAAAAAAAAAAGACTGGCATTTGTTATCTGTATTGCTTTAAAGAGTTTAGATTTCCTTTTTGAAATCCAAAGTTTATCAACTAGAGAGTCGACACTTGATGTAATTATTAAATATTCTTGTTTATAGTGCTATAATTTAACCCATTAATTAAAGCTGGATTGATATCAGTACTTCGACAGAATAATTCATACATTTATAATAGAACGCGAAGTAATTTTTGAAGAAAAAGTGCTGATGGGTTCCGGTTTGGTGAGGTGTAGTGATTAAAATATCTGATTTAACTTAAATGTTGTAGGTTCAAATCCTTCATTCATGAGTACTTAATGGTATACTGAAAATTCTGTCGTCATTTACACACCCTCAAGTTTCTGGTCCCCATTGACTTCCATAGCATTTTTTATTTTTCCATACTATGGAAGTCAATGGGGTCCAACTGCTTGGTCACCAATATTCTTCAAAATCTTTTGTGTTCAGCAGAAGAAAGAAACTTGTACAGGTTTGGAACAACTTTGGCTGTGTAAATGACAGTAAATTTGCTATTGATGTAATGATTCAGACTAAAACTACCCGGCATGTTTAATCCTTTGTGATGAGTGGATGATGATGGATCACCCAACCTACTGAGAAACGTTTACATTATCCACCATTTTAGCAGTTATTTTGGTTTGATACATTAGCTTATGAAAGTTCAGATATTCCATATGTTTCATTTTATATGAGCTCATACGGATGCAGCTTAACTGAGTCACATTAATTCATCACAGAGTGAGGAAAGGCTCCTTTAAAATGAATGAACCGGTTTCACAGACACTCAAATTTACCCGCGCTTTTACTCAAGTACTTAGTCTCATTAGTGAACAAAGAGCTTCCTCGTTGTGACTGATTAGTTCACTTATTTTTTTAATTGATTGGTTTGTTTGTGTGTTTATTGGCTCAAAACTAGGGCAGTTATTATTTTATTATGTATTAAATATGTTTAGTATAGAATAAATACATTTGCAAAACAACCTATTTCATTCACTTTTACAAAAATGTACTTTATCAAATGCAATATCATGCTCTTCTTTGATTATGGACCAAAAAATTCAAAATATCTTCTTCTGAGTTCAACAGAAGAAAGAAAGGCATACAGGTTTGGACGGTTTGGATTTCACAACTTAGTAGGAACAAATTAGTACAACAAAGTGACTATGACTTACCTAAAACAAGTAAATTAGTTGATAAATAGTGGGAACAAATTCTTAAGTTGTGGCCATGTTTTCTTCGTCTTGTTTATTTTCCTCCTTTACTTTTTTTTTTTTTTTTTGCAAAATCGACTATTTGTTATTCTGTTAGCTATTGTTAGCTAGGTAATTTTTGTCACCAATGATAACTATATTACTCTGAACTCTAACTATGGAAGCCAATTCTGCAGCGAAAAAATAAACTCAGAATTGCGAGATATAAACCAAGAATTTTCTCACAATTCTGAGTTTATATTTTGCAATTCTAACTTTTTTCCACCAGAATTCTGAGTTTATATCTCTCAATTCTGTTTTTTCCCCCCTTTTCGCCACGGAATAATAATAAAAATGTACAATTTAAAAAGTAATTGCGACTTTTTATCTCACAATTCAGTTTTTTTTTTTTTTAATTAAAAAAATAAACTTAAATAAACATAAATAAATGTAAACTGCAATCGCGAGTTTCTGATTGAATTGCGAAAAAAAGTCAGAACTGTGAGATAAAAAGTTGCAATTACTTTATTATTACTATGTGGCAGAAATTGGCTTCCAATCTCACTAGTAATAATTATGTTACTACAATGGTCTGGACATGTAGGATTAAAATACAATGAACTGTGAGCCTGTGTTGCTTATTACTTTAAGTTTTTATATGATTTAGATTATTAGTTTGATTATTAATAACTCTCACATAAGCTTGAGAGAAAGTGGGCGTGGCTTAGTCCTGCTCGTCTGTAATATCCTGTTGTAAAAGAACACAGTCATGCTGGGAGTGTTATTAACAATCAAATATCTAAGAAATAAAAATAAATAATTTGAAAAAGCCTATATGTTGTTTCAGGATAATTCCGATAAGTTATCTTAGCGGTAAGAAATAAAAAAAATGTCTACAGTTTTCATGTTATAAGATCCAGTTTGTTGAAGAATAGTACTATTTTTATTTTTTTTACTTGATAATTGGATATTTATTTTTGTAATTTTTAATTCAGTATACAAAAAAAAAAAGAAGAAAGAAATAAATAAACA